ATTGCTAAAAATAGTGCTGTTTTTTTCCAGAGTAATGAGGAGACTTTAAAAAAAAAAAAAAAATTGCCTGTGAATCTCCCACTGGTGGAGACAGTGGTGAAAGAGGGAGAAGAGCTTTGCCATGCAGCTGGTCTGATAAAGGCTCTTCCATGACCCGATCTGTCACGCAGGGTGGTTGAAAGAAGAAAATGCCACGTGTGTCCCCCCACGCCTCGGCCTTCGCGATCTTCCCCACCCTGCCAGTGGTTATGGGATTATTCCCCATGTGCAAGTGGTGTCATTAGGGATATATAAATAGTTATTTCATATGGCAGGATGTGTTTGTTTCTTCTTGCAAGCTGTATATGACCAAACTGCATGCGTGTGCATGGAGGCGTGCATATTCCACGTGGGTTTGCTTTGCAGGCCAGGGTTTATATTCAGGGAATGATGACTGTTACCTAGTCTGACTGCCTGAATAACCAAGGGCACAGGCTTACCTGTGAAACTTGCATTGGGTTTTCCTATCCTGAGTTCAGTGTCACCTACTGGAAACTCCACTATGCCATCTGCAAATTAACTTGAGGTATGCTTTTTAATTGAAGACAAGGTCTGAGGCCAAGTATAGGAGTTGCTGCAGAAAACTAAGTGTTCTGTGGTACCCAGGAGGTCAGGCAAGAAGATTTAATGATCCCTTCTGCCCTGAAATCCAGAGCACTGCAATCAAGCTAAGTATCTTTAAATGCAATTGGTCAGTTATGTATGCATACCCATACTCAGGAAGGACCCATGAAAGCTTAAATATACTACTGCTCTTATTTGTGGCTGCAAAACAAATTTGTAAAATAAAATTTCCTTCTTTTTTTTTTTTTTTTTTAACCATACTCTTGTCTTGGAAGCTCAGGAAAATATAAATCAGCAGGCTGTTAAAGACTCTTAAGACTCTTAAGAGTCTCACTACTTTAGTGGGACACAAAAAGCTGTGGCTGCAGAAATGTGCAGTATAAGTTTAAGGTGTTTAATCTTACATTCCATATTGAGCCTGGAAACACCTGAAGATGAAAGTAGTTTTTGTTTAAATGCTGACAATACGCCCTTGAAGATTTTATATGGAAATTAAGTCAATTACTGTTTCTGTAATGCAATTACTGTTTTATTAGGAGCACTATAATTTTAACATGTTGGTTAGTATTGATCAGAAGAATCTACGTGTGATAATATATCTGGGATGAAGTACTGTATGACTCAGCTGACCTGAATTTATCCTTCATAAGGATAAAATTTGGCAAGTGTGATGAAATCTGGCAGCCTCGCTTTCCCCATCTGTACAGTGGCACCTATGTATTTTCCTGCCTACACTATTCCTTGGCAATTTATGGATAAAAAAGCAGTTTCTAACTAATACATATTTAATAGTAATCCATAAAAGTTGCCGTGATGTAAGTAATGTCACTTCTAAAATGCTAATATACTAAATTTGACATTATCAATTCATTTTTGTAAATCCCAAATATATGCTTGTATTCTGCCTTGTCTCTTTGTTCCCCAGCCATTCAAAGCTCTGCTGCTGGCATTGAAATGCTACCTTTTCTTCTGACTTTTATAATCTATGTCTGATTTGACTATTGATATATTATTATACTTTTAAAATAGTTGGTTATTTCCTTTCTGGTTTTACTTTTTCTTACGTTCATCCAGTCCATGTTAAAAGTACAGTGGATTTGTCATAAACTAATTATAATGTTTCTTTTCTTTTGCACTCTCATTGCAGTTCCTTCCAGTTTGTAGCTCACTGTTTTGCTCCAGCTTTATGCACTGTGGGTGTTTTACATGAAACATTTGCTACGGCATCATTTTGCCTGTGAAAACAGGGGAATGATGACAAGTTTCATTTTGGGCTTTGTAATTTTGGTGCCTAGTCTTGATTGGTACCAAAATGCAATTTGGATGTAGAATCCATGTTGTAGGAACTTTATGGTGTGACATGATCATATTGATATTTTATTAAGATAATGGACGTGGGAATCCTCTCCTCAGGATGTGCATATGGTATTGGTACCACCTCATCAACAACGTATTTGGGAATGTTTTTGCTTTGTATTTATATTCTTGCATTGTCTTAGGAGAACGTAGCAATATGTAGCAGCAGGTTTAGAGGTAGTTTATCATGTATTAGTGAGCATGGAGGTAATTTCAAAGCACAGGAATGTTTGGATTAAGCCTGGAGGGGTGTTCTTCATGATTTTCCTCAGGCTACTGGTAAGTTTTGTTCACAGGGCTGCAGCATGCTCACTTGGGCTGGCAGCCTGGGAGCCAAAGGCGAGATGGGATACGCCTTATGGGATTGGTGGGGTAGCTGGGCAAGAGGGGTCGGGGAGCCCAGAGATCTCCACGAGTATTTCGTGCTGCACATGAAGTACCATGGGCCTCGAATGCTACCACAGCCAGCAGGTGATGTAGCTGCTCTCGTCTGCAGTTAGGGTGCAGGTTTCTGCCTGGCTTCCGGGGAGAAGATTTCTCCGTCCTTTCACTCCTGTACGTTGGAAGTAAGCTAGAAATGAGTTGCCATGACTTCATTGTGAACCTCGTAGCTGTCTGTTATTCAGTCAAGGTTTCTGCTGAAATTTTGGGTGAAGTTTTTGGTACTGGGCTTTTTACTCTGTCATAACTATTTAAAACACATTCAGGAATGCTTAAGTATTACATTTTCTCTTCAGTGCTTGTAAATGCAAAGTAATTCCATTAGTGCTGCTTGTGGCAAGTCAGCCTTGAACTAGTGAACTGAGAAGGAAGCAACCCTACATGCAAATCCAAAATGCACATACAATGCAGAGGGCCAAACAAATACGTGTACAGAAGGCAGCGGTATGTACAGCTATCATGACTGTGCAAAGAACTGTACATATGCCAGCACAAAAGGAGAGTTTGGTGATAAAGCTGCAGAAACTTAGCCTATATCATCCCGTGTTTCTGGAAAGGAGGCAAATGAAATTACTGTGATGCCTTTGAGACCCAGGTATCTGTTGGACTGTATGCACAAGTAGAAGTGGTTGCTGATAAAGATGTCTCCATTTCCCACCCATAAAAATGGCATGAGTATTCCTTTTGACCCCATCTTGTCAATTCTGCTTAGCATATTGACTTTCCAGGGCTGCCTTGTATGCGTTTGTCCCTTCCTAGCAATCAGGGGTCATTTGTTCAGCTGGAAATACAGGACTTTGGGAAGCGTCACCTTTTAGTTTATTATTGTGCCAGCATTAGCTGCTTGGTAAATGTTGTCTAATGTTTATTGACCAGAAAAATTGTTGAAATTATATGTACAATGTGCCTTCTCACAAAAGCTATCCAAGAGGTTTTACTTCTTGATAATATGAAGTTAGGAACATCAGCAACCAAACGTTGGAAAGAAATGCTTGTCTCATCAAATCCAGCCTTCCGCCGTTTCTGATGGCTCAGCCATAGACAGCTCATTTGGGAGGTTTCACTGAAAACCCATTTTCCATGCTTTCACCATGGCACAGTGTTTCACAATACAGCAAACATAGCTAAAACACATGCATATTTTTATGATGATAACATGATTCCACCTGTTTTCCTTCTCATTTCAGGCTGCAAGATTCTGGTCATATGGAAAGTTTGCAGGGTTTGGGTTATGCCCACCCATTAGTATTAAAGACAGTTCCCTTTAAAGGACTTCAATTTGTTTGGCCCTGTGTAGTAAGACTGTAGTCTTATTGCTTCCAGTCTTGGAGTGTTTCTGTTTTTCACGCTTTTACTCAGGTTTTCTTCAGCAGAGGCTCAGAGGAACTGCATTATTTTCCCATCGCTTGCACAGAATAACAGTAGGACCTTGGGGTTGTTCTGCCTTTGCTCATCAGCTGTAGGAACTGGGGCTGGTGTTGTCTTTTCAGGGTGTTGACTTCCCAAGATCCAGCTGCTTTGTGTTTATTCAGTTCCAGCTAATGCAATCTGTTCACTCCTGGGCTTTAGGCACTGTTAAAATACAAATAATAAATAATGACAATGGAAAACAGTTTTTGCCTTTCTCGACAGTCATATTGCTATTGCTCCAGAGATTAATGAGTGGTTGAGTAGCAGCTATACTTTAGTTGGTTGCTAGTTGATTATTATTAAACAGAAATAATCTTACACTGCAATACACAGTATGATGGTAATACTTCCAGCAACCCCTGGAAGAGATGCCTGGTGATACGACACAAGATACTGATTCTCCTGCTTATAATCAGTCAATCTTTTTATAAGTCATTATAAAATACTATCCTATTTTTTTTTTTGGTATAACTTCTCTGCATTTTTAATTCCATAATTGTAACATGGATGTTATGCAATCATGAATGGGAGTAGATGTGAGTATGAGGAAGGAAACCTTTATAACCTATAGTCCACACTAAGAAAAAAATTGCTAACTTTGACTAAATTGTAGATGTTGCTCTGGTTCAGCAAAACACACAAGCATGTCTAGAACAGTGATTACATGCACAATTCCTCTGATCTCAAGGAAGAACAAATGAAATAAAACAAACGCTTTTAATGCCTTGCTTGATTTTAAGAGAACAAGTAAATTCTTTGAAAAAGGGGAGAACTGCCCTGTGCTTTGTAAACTGGAAATGTTTAGACTCCTCTGGACTGAGCTTCGTGCTTTGGAATTGCGTTTGCAAGAGGTGTGGTTTGGGAAATAGTAGAATGAAGTTTCAGTTGAGGCCTGTAAATGTCCTCAGTCTTGTATCTGAAGCACAAAATATCCTGGTGATGCACGTGCTAGTTCATTTGTCCCTGTTTTTAATCATTTTTACCTAGAAGCATGTGCTTTCTGTGTTCAGAAGGAATGTTGTATCCCTTGAGAAATATTCTCTTCTCCTGTTGTGTGTCCTTCCCCTCTGTCCTCACCTGTGCTGCATGGTCTGCTTAATGAACGTGTGGTGTTTCCAGATGCATGTCTGTATGAACGCCAGTACACCTTAACTGGTGATAATGAGATCTCTTTCCATCCCTCCCTTTAGGTTGTGTGGAGGAAACTTGGAGATGCTGCAGGGTCGTGCCCTGGAATTAGACAACATTTGTCAGGAAATCAATACAAAGGACCTATGTAAAAGGCCCTGAGCAAGTCCTCTCTCTGAAGAGTTTGAGCTGCCGATAAGAGAGAAAGAACTGACTGTGTCCACAGCGACTTCCCAGCTGATGACGGGGTGTCTGTAAGCATTGCAAGAGACTTCATTGGAAACTAGTAGAGATTCTGCACAGAGGTCTTTTGGAGGAGCCATGTTGTCAGTGTCCCCCGAATATTGCTGTTTCGGTATACTGGCTAATGAAATGCTGCTGCCGCATCGTCACTTCAACTCACCACATTTAGAAGCACTGAGGTATTTCCATCCTAACTAAAAGATAATCGGGATTCTGCAGGAGTTACATGAAATAAGTTTTATTTTGGTTAGTTACAGTGAATCTCTAGTAAGTCTGAATGAATTTTCCACTGGATTTAACAGAGGTTTTTCACCAGACTGGAGAGACGTTGATAAACTGTGCCTTTGGTCTCCACAGTTTTGAGAAAGTCACTTCTTGGTAACTCACACTTCAGTCTGTAAAGTTAATGGTGCTTAGGCGATTTCCAGACGATTTTTTTGCTTTGGTAGAATACCTGCCTTTGGAGGTGCTAAAAGACCATAAAGTCTCCTAACCAGCCAGTAGTGTAGCATAACTACAGTACTTGTAGTGAAACACAATTTCTTTCTAAATGAAAGTAGAGAGAGCTTTCTTTTCGATTCTCTTTGATGCACATCTTCTGAAGACGTGTACAATGTTCGCAGCCCTTTAATGAACAGCATACTTAGGTATCACTATTACAGGTCTCAAATCAGAATTTCCATCAAGAGTGTTTTTTGGAAAGTATTTTCCAATTGTCAGGATGCTAATTTCTACTGTTTAATTTAGAGACACACTGGTTTATTTAACAAGAGTCTATAAGGATCTAAAAGATTGCACTGCATTATAAAAAAGCTTTTCTTGCCACTGTAGCATTCTTTCAAAGAAAAAGGTTTTATTATACTCAGAGCATGTCTTTCATTATTATGAGGCAGAAAGCTCTTGTTCAGATTGCCTGAGATTTGACCAGACGGCGCCCTAGATGTGCTTAGTTTATTTTTATCTATGTGTATGACACTAGTTGTGTGTATTGAATTGCAATGATAGGTATTTTGTGTATATCTAAAAGCAATGATAGTTTCATGTATGAATGTGCAACAGGCTTGTGACTGAATGCTGTTGCTTAACTTTTTACCATAGCTGAGCATCAAAAAGACTAATAAAAATTAAAAAAAAAAAAAATAGGAATGCAACAATTCCTGGGTTTCTGGTTTGTTCTTGGTTACTAAGATTTGAGCCAAAGTCAGAACCTCTGTTTTCTCTGAGCTTGCAACGTGCTGTATTCGTGGGCTGTTTGCAGTGGGATGTAGCTCGGTTGCTGTACAATCTTTTGTTCTATAGGAGTATGATGTAAATCTGCTAACTGTCTTCAGAAAAGGTGTGTTAATTTACAGCAGTAATTATATTGGTTTCTGTTGATATTTTTACTTGGTACCATTTGACGTAAGGCCTCTGATCCAGCATTGCTTTCTCGGGCAAAACTCCTGTTCACTCCGTGTCCTTGAATCTGGCCTTCCATTTTGAAACGTTGCACTCCTGCATAATTTCTTATATATTACCCAGCCCAAACAGTTGTCTGTTATCTTTACGTGTTGTTTTCTCCCATACATATTGTTTGCATAGTTAAACTTCAATTGTTGTATTCCTATATATCTATATATATGTATGAAAAAATGTAAAACATGTACTTGTGCCTGCAGTACGTATGTGCAGGGGCTAATCTGAGGGACACTGGTCTTTTGACACTACACTTGTGTAAATTTTGATACTGTATTAAAACTATTTTTTTACAGTTCTGCATACGATTGGGTATCAAGTATCTGTGTTCATCTTAGCAACGGTAATAAATTGTAGAATCTCACCATTGTTTGCTCTCCTTTAATGACCAAAGCCGCGAGGTGCTCAGGCTCACATGCAGTTCGCTTTGAAAGAGCTGTTTGAAACGTTTCCTGCTTGGTTGAGAAATTAGCTGCATGTTGTGGATTTTTGTTCACTTTCTCTCCAGGTGTCTTAAATCCCAGATACGTGGACCTGCTTATTTCTTTTATGCTAACTGAGGTAGCTGCTCTATGTGTTATAGATAGACAGCGGGGGGCCATGTGGCAGCTCCAGGTGTGCCCCCCGCACATGCCCCAGGTGCGACGCATTAAGTCCCCAGCTGTGCTGCAAGGGCAGCCCCGGGGCACCTGTGAGGGGCCCTTCCTCCCCTCTGCTTGCACAGTGTGGCTTTGAGGCGAGGACAGGGCGATATGGAGCTCCCAGAGCCGTTTCGCTCAGGTAAGAGACGCATGCGTGTTCGTGGTACTGGGGGAGGCTGGCTGTGTCCCACTGTGTGTCAGCGGCCTCCTGTGCCCACCTCATCTCCGCCCTGGGACCGGGCTCCCTCGTCTCCCCACAGGCTGTGCGTGTTGGGGGAAAGGGCAGCAAAAGGGCTGCCTATTGCTGCTTGTGCCAGTGAGCAGAAAACTTCCACTAAATTTTCTGGAAAAAAAATACTTCGTACAATCAGTATCTTGGAGCTAATAAGTCCTGTGGGGGCCCCTAAAAAATACAGCTTACTAAGAGGAGAAAGTGTGCAGTGTGCAGAGAAGAGGGTCAGTGCTCTTGAGGGGTCCTGTAGCCTGCCGATACGTCTCTGCGCTAATGAATAAAAATTGCTGTAGTAGTTATGGACCTTCATCTCATCTGTCTTGCTCTCCGCCTGCATGTTTAGGCGTTTTTCAGTAAAATGTGATTGCGCCAAGCCTCACAGACTCCTCATTCAATTGTTTTTAGCATAATTCTGCTTCAGTCGAAAGTTTGCACATGTTGTTACGGGGCCGTTCCCAGCTTCTGAGCTGAGCATGAATGAGCTATAAAATTTACTATGCAAGTGAAAAATAAAAAGCACGCAGCGAACGGAGGGAGTGAATGGCGTTTTTCAGTAAAATGTGATTGCGCCAAGCCTCACAGACTCCTCATTCAATTGTTTTTAGCATAATTCTGCTTCAGTCGAAAGTTTGCACATGTTGTTACGGGGCCGTTCCCAGCTTCTGAGCTGAGCATGAATGAGCTATAAAATTTACTATGCAAGTGAATTTTAAATAGCACTCGTGTAGCGGATGTAGTGAGTGGATTTTACATTCTGGAGTGGAGAAAAGCTGCTTTGCTGAAGGGTTAGAAGGCAAAGAATGGCAGTTTGTTTGTCAGCAAGTGAATGGTTTTAGTAGAGCCCGTTCCCCCAAAGGTTGCAGTTGATGGACGTGTTTATGAACACGGCACAAAGCCAGTGTGCCCTTTTTAATGTTTTGAGCACAGCCAGCCCAAACAGCCTCTGCAGCATGGGGACGGCACCTGGCCCCACGCTCCTTTGTGCTGCCCGAACCTCTCAAACACCAAATGCCCCACAGGCTTTCCGTGTTGCTGTCGGGTACCTCCCCAACAAATACCGCTCTTGCCAGGGCACCGGTTCATTTAATTCTTTATATGTTTTGAAATAAGTCCCAGGGTGGTGTGAATTCTTTATACTGATCTCACCAGTTTGATATAGAAGAAAGTGACTCAGCCACTTTTTCCCCCGCTTTCGGGGGGGGGAGGAAGTCTTGATGAGACTGTCCTTTATTGTGAATTCCTGCAGAACAGAGCAGCAAATACAGCTGCCAGGTATGTGATGCCAAGACCTCCTTATGTCTCCACACTTGTGTTTTCCAGGTTCAGGTGAACCACGTACACAGGGAACCCAGCCATGAATGTCCATCCTCAAGCCAGCAACTAGCTCTGTGACTCTGGTCATCCAAAAACCTGAAGGTAAGAACAGCTGACTCGACAGATATTCAATATGTGGAAGAGAAACTTTAGTTGTTATGAAAAGCCAAATACTGGGGCCACTTCACAAAAAGATCAGAGGGGAAGGGAAGGCTTAGTAATTCCTGAAAGAGCGTGAGACTACATGGGGTGCTCCTGGGCACTCCTGCTGACTTTGGTGGGGGGTGAGACAACCCAAAAATGGTAGTGTGAATGAAAATAAAGTTTTAAATAGTCTAACATAAATAAAAATATTATCATGTTTTAAAAACTTAAGAGATAACATGGACCAGAGACATAAACCTTACTTGAATCCTTCTTAACTGAGAAAGCTCAAACTTTTCCACGGGAGTAATTAGAAAACTGAGAAATATTCATGGGGAATGATGAAAAATAAATAAAACCATAGCATCTTCTGATATTGATATGAGGTCTTTGCTGGCCGTGCTGGAGCCAGGCTCTGGGTAGCTCCAGCCCTGTCCAAGCATTTGTGGTTCTTCTCATGCTGCTGGCTGGTGAGGAAGGACCCCAGGGACTTTGTTACATGCTTCCATCTGAAACAGCTTCCTAAACACCTGGTTCACAAAGACATGCCAAAATAATAATAATGAATTATTTAATATGTTTGTTAGAACATGATAATTACTCTCCACTTGAATAAGAATTTGTTATAATTATCTCTTCGATGCTGTGGCCCTGAAGTTTGAAGTTTCTTTGGTGGGTTTTTCCCCACTACTGTGAATAGGTTGAAGTAATTTTTTAAAATAACTTGTAAGTCTTCAGATGAAAAAGTAAAGGAAAAAATAACATTGTGAACCCATCCCCAGACTCTGGAAAGAAAGAGGACAAAGGGAAGGGGGACGGGGACGGGGACCTGTCCTGCCAGGATCCAGGCCGCAGGTGAATCTTCTGCAGTGTTTATGTGATTAGTGGTACAACCCATTTGCTACGCAACTCACCTGTGCGTATGGCAATCTTAAAGGACTCAGAGAAAGGCTGTGTGAGAAATAAGGTGGTTTAATGTTTTCACATGTGATTATTTTTGTAGTATTGGTCTTGATAAATGCCAGGGGACAGGGTTGGCCCATAAGCAGTAGTGTTCCCTGGGCCTGAACATCGCAGCTGGAAAGCAGGAGGGGGTTGATGGCATGGTTTTTTTCAAGAAGCTTTGAAAGTCCCTAGTGACACGAGGACATCTTGGCTCAGGTGAGTGCGCTGAGCCCTGCTAAACCGTAGCATCACTCATGGCTTAAGCATAAAGGTCAGAGAGTGAAAGGAAAACACTCAGTTTTGAGGTGGCCTTTCAAAATAGGATCCGGTTTGTTGTCAGAGTGGTGGGAATTGGCCTGAACATCAATCTGTGGCATGGGGCTGTCGAGCTGCTCAGTTTTCACAGGTGTTAGATTGGGTATTTCCTCTCTTACAAAATCTAAAATTACGTTATTTTTCTCCCCCTGCTGACCGGGAAGTGTTCACAGACTGCTGCATGTGCCCATTTAGAAAGCCCCAGAGCACCCCAGAGCCCACCCTACCCAACCTTGAAAATCCCAGGAAAAGCATACCATGAAACACGGGAACGTTTCCATGGGAACTGTTCCTCTACTCCTGCTAATAAAACGGACCTATAACACAAATGGTAACAGGTCCCCATTTCTGCACCAAACTACAAACAGTGAACGCTACAAAGGGAACCAGTAAAGAGCAGAAGTGTAAATCAACAAAACTGTTAAATTAGGTACGTGCGTGCCTCCCCACAAAAAAACACAAGCATATAAACGAAGCCCTCAGGAAAAAAAAAAAAGATCATTTTAATTATAGCACATCCAGCCAACATAAACCCCATGGATTGTGTGAAATCAGATTTGTTCTTCTGATACACAGCAGGAAGCTCTGTAGCAGATCAAATACGTTCAGGGAGGCTGTCTTGCTAATTGCCGCTTCTAGCTGAGCCAAAGCAAACTATTTAGACAAAGGAGAGAATTCACTTTTTATTTAGTATTAATTATGAAATAGCATGTCTGGATGGGCTTCACAATAACACTACATTTCCTGGGGAAAAAAAAGGAGTTCTAATCCTGTGAAATAGTAGGAGAATTAACCCCTTGCTTCAGCCTGGAACCCCGACACGTGCTTACGATTAAGTGCAAGATAAACGGTGGTCTCGAACAAGGCCTTTCCTTCAATCACAGCAGATTATGAAACTCATTTTAAAGCCTTCTTTACAAGCATTCTTGTATGTTCTCACCTTACGCTGATGTTAAAGCAATGCATTCTTTTCTTTCTGTTGTGACTTTTACACTTCCTCTTGGTTTTTGTTTTTTTTTTTCAGCCTGTTATGGCCATTTTATAGCATCCCTTTGGCTTCTCACTAAAGATTCTGAAGTTTTGCATCAAGTATTTTGGGGCTTGGATGCGTCACTTGGGCACTGTCACTTTGTGCTGCCAGTAGCCTACCAAATGTTGACTGGAGGTTTTATTTTCCTCCTATGCTTTTCTCCTGCAGCATACAAGTGGTGTCTCAGAGCAGCTTAGCTGAATATTAGCATTTGTAGCCATGGACAAATAAAAATCAAAGTGGCAGGGAAGAAGTTGCGATACTGAATGCCAGAAGCGAGTTGTTCTCAGACTTGGTTAACCACCTTCCACACTTGGGCAGCAGGACTGGAGTCACTGATGTTCAGGCCAGGTGGTCGTGTGGCCCAGTAGAAAAGGGGAATGATGATGAACTTACAAGTGTGTGCGGCCAAGTTTGTAGGAAGTGGATGAAAAGATGGAGTAGGAATTGGCTGGGGTTCAAGGCTGCTTCTTACCATTGTGTAACAGGTCCTAGTGATTGCTCTGGTTTTGCTTTCGTTTACATCAAGCTTTGAATATGCATAACTGCAAAAACTGCTTCTTGGAGGCCTTCTGCTCTGGGTGGTGCCATCTAGAAAGACAAACCTTCCACAGCATGGGAAGATATCTTTTCTCCAAGGGAACAAGATGTCACAAATAGCATGAGGACC